CAGAGCTCTGATGGGATCGTCGTGTCGCTCTACATCGTATCCGCAAGGCAGGCGGTATGATGACTTGCCTGTCAGAGTCAGATGTTGAGGAGCCAGCACGTTTGACTCTCGCAACGGTCACGTGACTCTACCTGTCAGATCTATTTATGAAATATAACCCTTTTTAAGGTAGCGCCCTCTCCCTGCCAACCGAGCTCCTTTCAAAATTGCCTCCGAAGGTCCGGGGACAACTTTGACTGTCAGCTGACAGGAAAGGCCCATGACTCCTGTCCCCCTTCAAGGTCTGGCGACGAAATATAGCCTGTTAAAGCAGAGACAGTCCTTTTATCGCTCCCCTCCCCTCAATAAGACTCCTTCCTGCGCAGGCTTGAGCTCGCCTTCACAGAGCTCTGATAGGATCGTCTTGTCGCTCTACATCGTATCCGCAAGGCAGGCGGTATGATGACTTTTGACTGTCAGAGTCAGATGTTGAGGAAGCAGCACGTTTGACTCTCGCAACGGTCACGTGACTCTACCTGTCAGATCTATTTATCGGCTTCTCCCTGCCAACCGAGCTCCTTTCAAAATTACCTCCGAAGGTCCGGGGACAACTTTGACTGTCAGCTGACAGGAAAGGCCCATGACTCCTGTCTCCCTTCAAGGTCTGGCGACGAAATATAGCCTGTTAAAGCAGGAACAGTCGCTCCTCATACCAACAAAAGATTTTGATATATAGCTTACAGTCGCTCCAACTACCCCCTTTTATAGCTCCCCTCCCCTCCTGCCCACCGCTCGCTCGTCCTCTCTCTCTCTGTCTGCTGCAACAAGCTTCTCTCTTCAAGCCCTCCCCTCTGACCTCTTCCTCGGCCTTCTCCTCCATGAAGACTCCCCTCTCCTCTGTCCTCACCGTCTCCCCCCGCCCTCGCAGCAGCCTGCCCCTCGCCCCCTCCCCTCCTCCCCCCGTCACCCTCGACATGGAGACGCTCAGGCCGCTCTTCCGTCTGCCTCAGCCTGTCGCTGCTCGATGTCTCGGGGTCTCGCTCTCCTCCCTCAAGCTCGCTTGCCGCCGCCTGGGCGTACAAAGGTGGCCGTACAAGGCCGCGAGACCCCCGGCCAAGTCGCCGACCTGCTCAGCGCCCCAGGGCTGCAGCCAAGCAGCGCCCCAGGGCTGTAGCTCGGGAGGCCGCGGCCCGGCAGACAAGCCCTCGGGCTGCACGTACCGGAGGCTGAGGTGGATCGACCTGGGGCTCTTCGACCTGCTTGAGGACAGCATGAAGCACGTGGCGGGGACGGGCTTCCTGGTGGAGGGCCGGGGAGGCAGAGGGGAATGAGAAGACGGGGAGGAAGGAGGGGGCAGGCGAAGGGTTGGTAACGCCCGAGGGTGTAGCAGGGCAGCAGAGCTGATGTAAGAAGAGTGTGTGTATGGGCTAGCCTCCAAAGGGAGCTTGGCAAGTAAATAAACCACCTTCCTGATACGAGCGGGGGGGCAAGGGGCATTCGGTAGCCATGCGTCTGCCATGGCCGACCCGCGGCTGGGGCCTTGAGCACCAGAAGACAGTGCGTGCGTTCTGGGAGTCTACGGCAAGACCTGCACAGCCGCACGCCCAGCAGTAGAGGCAGGCGAGGGCTAGAGATGCCTCGACGGGGAGGAGCCTGAGAGCGGCAGAGGCTGAGTCAGGACCGGACGTGATAGGAGGTCGGAGCTCGAGACCGAGTGACTGGTCGAGCTGGTCCAAGGAGGAGGAGCAGGCCCAGAGCTCGCCCCGAGACTATCAGGGTGTGAGGACGTGCTTCAACGGCTTGAGGCCTTGGAGAGGGAGGTCGTTGACAGCACCAGGACGAGCGCAGCTCTGAGGGCACCTGAGTGAGGTTCGGTCACCCCCCGCAGCTTTACGGGTGGCAGATGTCCATGGCAAATGCTCAAGGCACCTCCGCGGGACCACACGCAAAGGTGAGGTACCACCCGTACTCGGCACTCTCTGTCGCCCAACAGGGGTTGTACTCCCCAAGTCCAGTAGCCTTGCTGCCCTCGTGGCTGTAAGACACGACCATAGCTTCTCTTGCTGCCCCGTCCTGCTCAATAAGACTCCTTCCTGCGCAGGCTCGAGCTCGCCTTCACAGAGCTCTGATGGGATCGTCTTGTCGCTCTACATCGTATCCGCAAGGCAGGCGGTATGATGACTTGCCTGTCAGAGTCAGATGTTGAGGAACCAGCGGGTTTGACTCTCGCAACGGTCACGTGACTCTACCTGTCAGATCTATTTATCGGCTGCTCCCTGCCAACCGAGCTCCTTTCAAAATTACCTCCGAAGGTCCGGGGACAACTTTGACTGTCAGCTGACAGGAAAGGCCCATGACTCCTGTCCCCCTTCAAGGTCTGGCGACAAAATATAGCCTGTTAAAGCAGAGACAGTCCTTTTATCGCTCCCCTCCCCTCAATAAGACTCCTTCCTGCGCAGGCTTGAGCTCGCCTTCACAGAGCTCTGATAGGATCGTCATGTCGCTCTACATCGTATCCGCAAGGCAGGCGGTATGACGACTTGCCTGTCAGAGTGTGAAAGGGGCTCGGTTGGCAGGGAGATGCAGGACTGGAGGTAACGAGTCACGTGACCGTGTCCCCCTTCAAGGTCTGGGGACGAAATGTAGCCTACCAGTCGCTCCAAGTACTACATATCCTATTTTAGCTCCCCTCCCCTTGTATAGCTCCCCTCCCCTCCTGCCACCGCTCGCTCGTCCTCTTCTCTGTGTCTGCTGCAGCAGCGAGCTTCCCTCTTCAAGCCCTCCCCTCCGACCTCTTCCTCGGCCTTCTCCTCCATGAAGACTCCCCTCTCCTCTGTCACCACCGTCTCCCCCCGCCCTCGCAGCAGCCTGCCCCTCGCCCCCTCCCCTCCTCCCCCAGTCACCCTCGACATGGAGACGCTCAGGCCGCTCTTCTGTCTGCCTCAGCCTGTCGCTGCTCGATGTCTCGGGGTCTCGCTCTCCTCCCTCAAGCTCGCTTGCCGCCGCCTGGGCGTACAAAGGTGGCCGTACAAGGCCGCGAGACCCCCGGCCAAGTCGCCGACCTCAGCGCCCCAGGGCTGCAGCCAAGCAGCGCCCCAGGGCTGTAGCTCGGGAGGCCGCGGCCCGGCAGACAAGCCCTCGGGCTGCACGTACCGGAGGCTGAGGTGGATCGACCTGGGGCTCTTCGACCTGCTTGAGGACAGCATGAAGCACGTGGCGGGGACGGGCTTCCTGGTGGAGGGCCGGGGAGGCAGAGGGAGATGAGGGGGCAGGCGAAGGGTTGGTAACGCCCGAGGGTGTAGCAGGGCAGCAGAGCTGATGTAAGAAGAGTGTGTGTATGGGCTAGGCTTGAAAGGGAGCTTGGCAAGTAAATAAACCACCTTCCTCATACCAGCGGGGGGGCAAGGGTCATTCGGTAGCCATGCGTCTGCCATGGCCGACCCGCGGCTGGGGCCATGAGCACCAGGAGACAGCGCGTGAGTCCTGGGAGTCTACGGCAAGACCTGCACAGTCCCACGCCCAGCTGTAGAGGCCGGCGAGGGCTAGAGACGCCTCCCCGGGGAGGAGCCTGAGAGCGGCAGAGGCTGAGTCAGGACCGGACGTGATAGGAGGTCGGAGCTCGAGACCGAGTGACTGGTCGAGCTGGTCCAAGGAGGAGGAGCAGGCCCAGAGCTCGCCCCGAGACTATGAGGGTGTGAGGACGTGCTTCAACGGCTTGAGGCCTTGGAGAGGGAGGTCGTTGACAGCACCAGGACGAGCGCAGCTCTGAGGGCACCTGAGTGAGGTTCTGTCACCCCCCGAAGCTTTACGGGTGGCAGATGTCCATGGCGAATGCTCAAGGCACCTCCGCGGGACCACACGCAAAGGTGAGATACCACCCGTACTCGTCACTCTCTGTCGCCCAACAGGGGTTGTACTCCCGAAGTCCAGCAGCCTTGCTGCCCTCGTGGCTGTAAGACACGACCATAGCTTCTCTTGCTGCCCCGTCCTGCTCAATAAGACTCCTTCCTGCGCAGGCTTGAGCTCGCCTTCACAGAGCTCTGATGGGATCGTCGTGTCGCTCTACATCGTATCCGCAAGGCAGGCGGTATGATGACTTTTGACTGTCCGAGTCAGATGTTGAGGAACCAGCACGTTTGACTCTCGCAACGGTCACGTGACTCTACCTGTCAGATTTATTTGGCGGCTTCTCCCTGCCAACCGAGCTCCTTTCAAAGTAACCTCCGAAGGTCCGGGGACAACTTTGACTGTCAGCTGACAGGAAAGGCCCATGACTCCTGTCCCCCTTCAAGGTCTGGCGACGAAATATAGCCTGTTAAAGCAGGAACAGTCGCTCCTCATACCAACAAAAGATTTTGATATATAGCTTACAGTCGCTCCAACTACCCCCTTTTATAGCTCCCCTCCCCTCCTGCCCACCGCTCGCTCGTCCTCTCTCTCTGTCTGCTGCTGCAGCGAGCTTCCCTCTTCAAGCCCTCCCCTCCGACCTCTTCCTCGGCCTTCTCCTCCATGAAGACTCCCCTCTCCTCTGTCACCACCGTCTCCCCCCGCCCCCGCAGCCGCCTGCTCCTCGCCCCCTCCCCTCCTCCCCCCGTCACCCTCGACATGGAGACGCTCAGGCCGCTCTTCCCTCTGCCTCAGCCTGTCGCTGCTCGATGTCTCGGGGTCTCGCTCTCCTCCCTCAAGCTCGCTTGCCGCCGCCTGGGCGTACAAAGGTGGCCGTACAAGGCCGCGAGAGCCCCGGCCAAGCCGCCGACCTGCTCAGCGCCCCAGGGCTGCAGCCAAGCAGCGCCCCAGGGCTGTAGCTCGGGAGGCCGCGGCCCGGCAGACAAGCCCTCGGGCTGCACGTACCGGAGGCTGAGGTGGATCGACCTGGGGCTCTTCGACCTGCTTGAGGACAGCATGAAGCACGTGGCGGGGACGGGCTTCCTGGTGGAGGGCCGGGGAGGCAGAGGGGAATGAGAAGACGGGGAGGAAGGAGGGGGCAGGCGAAGGGTTGGTAACGCCCGAGGGTGTAGCAGGGCAGCAGAGCTGATGTAAGAAGAGTGTGTGTATGGGCTAGCCTCCAAAGGGAGCTTGGCAAGTAAATAAACTGTACGATCTGAAGCGAAGCCCTGTAAGAGACCGGGAGGGTGCGAGAATATCTGAGAGGACCTGGAGAAGGGGCGGGGGAGGCCGAGCAATCTAAGGGTGGAGGGAGGGGTTGTCAAGAGCTCGATAGGAGACTCTCAGGGAGGAAGGTCATCGATGGCCGATCAGAACTGGCTTGGTTAGTTAGAAGTCACAAGTCGTTTCGCGGTGAGCCCGGCCATGGGCCAGCATAACTGTTACTGTAACCACCAACCACACTGACCGCACTGACAAGATACCATCATGTTAGCTGTATGTCGGCCGCCCTGTAGCACAGCCAGCCATGTCGGTGGCGCCAGCGTTGCCAGACCCCCGAGGTTGAGATGGGTCCAAGCTTCCCTAGCATTTCTCGATCCGATCAACATACAAATGATTGTGGGATAGAACTATCAGAGATCTGTGAAGGCGGGCTGAAGCCTCCACAAGAAGGAGTCTTATTGAGCAGGAGGGGGCAGCAAGAGAAGCTATGGTCTGGTCTTACAGCCACGAGGGCAGCAAGAGAAGGAGTCACAGGAGGAGAAGGAAGGAGGCGAGGGAAGGAGAAGGGAGAACTTGAAAGGGAAGCCTGCAACCGAGGGAGAAAAAGGGAGATAGCGGGGGCAGGAGGGGAATACTGAGTGGGGAAGTAATGTACTGGGGAGCGACTGTTTCTGCTTCATCAGGCAACATTTCGTTCCTTTGGGATCGTGGGATGCTTCAGTCACGATACTGTCAAACATGTTTCTTCCACAGATATACTTGCTGGTCACCATAGCTACAGTGGCCGACGGGTATCATAACGAGATACTCTACAAGATCTTCAAAGGCCCTCGGCCCTGATGCAGCTCCCGGCGCCCGGGCCTTCGCTCGCTCGCTCGTTCATCAATGGACTAGCTCGGCCTCGTCGAATTCCTTGGTTACAAACTCCGACCTGAGAGAGTAAAAGCCCGTCAGCAAGGCCTGATACTGAGCAAGTTCACTCACTGTAGAATGTCTTGCATGGTCCCTTCATCCTCTCCGCCTTCATCCTCGCAAGGAACGTAATCGAGACGGTACCTGAGCACGATCAACGCAGAGGAGAGAGTGAAGTCTGTAGTACCTCGGGTTGTCCGCTGGGTTGGAGTAGAAATGCTCCAGGAAGTTGAACTGGACCTCCTCCAGAGTGACGTCATCTATCATCTTGCAAATGAGCAGAGCCAGCTCGAACTTGCTCAGCCGATTCTCATTCACGTCTCGGAGGGACTCGGAGAGATCGCTATTCCTCTGCTTCTCGCAGACCATCTGGTAGAAAAGGATCGCAAGAGACGTGATAGCCGAGATCAAGAGATTGCGCGAATTCTCAGGGCCGATGCTCAGTAGTATCATGTTGAAGAGTATGTTGGATACTGTCGTGAGCTTGTTGTCCGAATCTCGGATCGACGGTTTGATCTGCCTCCGGAAATTGTTCGAGATTACCAACTCTTTGATTCTGTACAGGGAAGACAAGTTGAGAGCCATGAGTGAGAAAATCTGAATCTGCTGCGCGAAAGATCGGTGGAGAAAAACTTTGAGCGGATCTCGCTGCAGCTGCCGCCCCAGTGCTTTGAGCACCACAAGGTTGTGGGCTCGCCTCTGTGAGTCTCCGCCGAGGTAGTGCTCGAAGATCCAGCAGAGCGGCCAGACGAGGAGGAAGGAGAGGACCACAAGAACCAGGCTGAGCGCAATCAAGACGAGGAAAGCTAGCAGCCAGAAGGCATAATAGGTCAACGGGTAGAACTCCTTCACTAGGAGAATGGCGCAGATCCTTAGCGAGGCCGTCTGCGCTTCGTCGTCACTGATGCCTGGTATGGGGGGAGATGTAAACTGCCACCAGTCGGCTCGACTTCGGAGGATCAGGAAGCATCCCCGGACTTGGAAGAAGAGAGTGTACAGGAGGAAGATAATCGAGACGCTGTTGTTGAAAT